ATTAATATAATGAATAGCCAAGCTACAGACTGGGTTTTTATATTTGCAAAATACAGATCCAACCAAGGATATGTAACAACCAGATAAAAAATGGGCAAAAGATTTTAACAGACACTTCACAAAGGAAATATACTCAAATAGCATAAGCATATACTAAAGGGCTTAACATCATTAGTCATCAGGAAAATGCAAATTAAAACCACAACGAACCATTACACACCCACCAGAATGGCTAAAATTAAAAAGACTGACGACACCATATGTTGGTGAGGATGTTGGAACAACCGAATGCTCATACGTTATTGGTGGGAGTACAAATAGTAGAACCATTTTGGAAAAACGGCTCGCAGTTTCTTATAAAACTAAACAAAACATTCTACTTCCATTTGTTATCCAAGAGAAAAAAATATGTGTATTCACAAAAAGATCTGTACAAGAATGTTCAGTGAAGTTTTATTCATAATAGCCACAGACTGGAAAGAGCCCAGGTGTCCATCAATAGAATAGATAAACAAACTGTGGTCTACACATACAGTGGAATACTACTCAGCACCAAATAGGTAATGACTACCGAATCACCCAGCAGCACTGGTGAATCTCAAAATATTACGCTCAGTGAAAGAAGCCTTATGCAAAAGAGTATATGTTACATGGTTCCATTTATATGAAGTTCTAGAATAGGCAAAACTAATCTACGGTGGGGAAAAAATCAGAAAAATGGCTGCCTCTGGGAGGTGCAGGGGAGGATTTATGGGGAAGGGGGATGAGGCGACTTCCTGGGATGATGGTAATGTCTGTATGTTAATGGGGCTTTGCAGCACAGGTATATGCATTTGTCAAAACCAATCAAATGCTATACTTAAGATATGTGCATTTCATCGTACTGGACGTAAATTTACTTCAAAAGAAAAACACCACAAACAGTGAATGCTAGCAAATGATACACACGATGAAGTATCTGAGAAGTGTACTTGAAGCATGCAACTTACTTTGAAATGCACAAAAAAAAAAAATAGAGAGAGAGAATGATGAATGGAAACTGGAACAGATAGAAATATGATAATGCAAGTATTGTAGAATCTAGGTGATGCATATATGGGTGCTCAATGGAAAATTCTTTCAACTTTTGTTTGTTTCAAATAAATGCTGGGAGAAAAACAACTAATATCATCTCTTTCAAGATGACTAATAAATACTGTATTCTAGGTTGGCTGGCCAATATTAAAGATCCTGGTCATGATCTATGAAAATCTGGGGGACCAAAGGAGGAAGTAAAGTGCTCAATATATAAAGTGAGGGGCAGGGAGTTACCAGAGCCGAATCCCAGAAATGCAGGAGGTCCCTGAGGCCTGCCAGAGATGAGGCCCGGAGCAGCAAGACAAGGGGGTCAGTCACTTTTGGGCCTCCCTGGGTTGCATTTGTTTCCTTCATAGCTCTGTAAGTCTATGAATTGTCTTCTGGGCCTGGTACCCAGCATTACTTAGCACTCTAGCTTTTCCAAGACATGTAAGAACATAGTTGGAGGATTTAAAGTCATTGATGAGGGGGAAAAAGAGGAAGGAACGGAAATGAATTAAAAATTCCGCAGGGAGAAAGTATGACTCACTCACATCTTGATGGGTAACTACCCTTTTAAATTGCATCTTGTGAAAACAGCCAAGGAGCATTAAAGATTGAATGCAAAACTGCTTGTGGGCAAAGCTGATTAAAAAGGAATAAAACTATTTTAAAAGCTTGTTCTGAGTTATCTGGCAACATCTGCATTCTGGTGAACGGGTGACTCAGATTCCACTGTGGTCCTTTTCACCTCCAGAGCTATGATTGTTACGGGACGACAGCCACCAGTAATTGTTGCTCTCTGGAGACTACTGAAGAGTCTCAGTCTAGCTGATAGTGATGAGCGATTAGCACTTTGCTTGATTTAATGAGCCTTCACAGAAACCATACCTGCTTTGTCCTTGAACTCTGTTCACTCAGCTTTCCAATTTTTCCATCCGCAAGGATAGAAAGTACTGCCTGCTACTAATGCCATTCAGAATCCTCACCTTGTGGGGGATTTTCTTTACCCTAACCTCCTGCTCTTTTAAGTAAGCAGCAACACTTTAATCAGGTTAGGCAAATGAAAACAAAATGGGACACCTGAGCAAATACAGTAGTAAACCGCGACCCTAATTTGAACAGAGACTTTTAACCCTAAACATTGTTGACTCATCTGTCACAATATATAAATTTTAACCTAATTTAAAAGTAAGCTTAAAAAAAAAACCTGCTAAGCTAACAAAAGTCAGTGTTACATCTATGCAGCTAGCAAGCAAAAACAACTAATACCGACTAATAGTAAAATAAACGTGAAGTTTATCACTTTGCACCTAAGAGAGATGGGCTAAGTGGGTAAACCGGCCAGTTTTACGAATACACTCTGTGCAAGATAACCCAGAACAGCAAGGCCACGTCCACATGTTCTGGAGTGAACACACGTTATGTAAAACCACTTTCTCTGGGCTGTCCTTTATTTCACAACGATGCCAACATTTGAAAATAATTTTCTGTCTCTAGTTCTATAGCATGAACCAGACTCCTATTTCTTCAAATAATACAAAGTTTCCCTCAAAACAAATATGAACTGTATTATGGGGAGTTTGTAGTAAAAATTTACCTCTACAAAGCAAACAATATGCCACAAGTGGCTTTTTTCAGATTATCTCATAAAAGTATACAGACCAAGAGAAAGGAGCAAAACATGTAAAGTGTGTGCTGGCAGAATTCAGCATAACATTTATGGATGGTTTTATGGCTCCCAGATTGTATTTTTATTATTTCCCAAGAGCCGTTCATGAGATTTGTTGCAATGAAGACTCAAATCACATATAAATTTTTATCTGAAAGTAAAGTGTTTGTTGCCCTCTTGAGGTGAATTCAAGAACAGAAACAAAACAACACTGGTTTTCCCTAGCCCATTACCTCAAAGAGGCTTTCTACAAACACACAGTGATCTGAAGCTAGGTAGTTGTAATAGTAACCCCATTTTCACCCCAATAACAGACAACTTACGTTCAAGCACCACTAGGCACTAGAACATTTCTGCAAAAATAAAGGAAAAATGTCACATCGAGAATAAAGCAACATTTTAAAAGTTTCAATCGATGGAAATGTCAAATGAGTTGCAGCCTAAAAAAATCATTAGTCTTCCTTCTAAAAATCAAGACACGAGGTATCAAAAGAAAGCATAATTTTGTCAACCAGGATTCAGAATGAGTAAATAATCCCGCTGTGGTCTGAACCTCTGTCCCCCTCAAAATTCACACTGAAATGTAATTGCCATTGCAACAGTATTAAAAGGTGGGACCTCTGAGAGGTGACTAGGCCATAAGGGCTTTGCCCTCATGGGGGCACTGATGCCATTGTAAAAGGGTGAGTTAGGCCCCCTTTTGCTTCTCTCGCCTTCTGCATGTGTTGATGCAGCAAGAATGCTCTTGCCTGATGCCGCACTTTGATATTGGACTTCCCAGCCTCCAGAATGTGAGCCAATAAACGTCTGTTCATTATACCATAACCAGTTTCAGGTATTATGTTTACAGCAGCACAAAGCAGACTAAGATCTCAATCATAAACACATTATTTAATAGTTATTAAATAATAGTTACTAATAAATTAATTTGTAAATAATAGTAACTTATTGATTTTATGACAGCTAAATGTTTCAAATAAAGAGCACCCCCCAGTCCTCTTCTTGGGGGGCTGAAAACTTAAGTAGCCCAATCAAAACTACTCCTGTAGTTTACACCAGCCTAAGGCTGAAAAGATCTTCACAGACCTTATTTTGTGAATCTGTTTGAGAGCACTATTATGTCAATGGACCATAATTATTTTTTATTTTCAATGAAAATAATCCTTTGCCACAAAACA